AGCGGCGGGGCACACTTGTACACCGATATTAAACCGATATTACAAATGTATGCTCCATTCAAAGGTCAGACTTTTAAACATTTGTCATGGAAAACGCTATGTTAAGAATGCATTTGGATGAAGCAATATAAAGATGTGAAAAGTTGTAGGGATAGTGCAGCAGGGGGTGGGGTATTCCATACAGTTAGCTAAGTGTGTACACCATACCATTATCACAGCCCGGGCAAGGTACATCCGTCAGGAGGAATGTGGGAGGCCAACAAAGGGTGATGACAATAGCTAAAAAAACCTATTCTTGAGTATCCGGGCCCGTTTAGGATTTGATGTTACATTGGTGCAAGTGTAGGCAGTTATCCCTGCTAGGACTGTCAGAAACCTCACGAGAAGGCGTTGCCAAGCAGTTGTTTTTAAAGCAAAAGGTGATACACAAGCTAATGAGAAAATATTTAAAAAAATGTGTGGCCAAAAATCTTAGATATAGGGGTCGCCCTCCTCTCTAACACATGACTAATGCAAATCAGTAAAAGACGTTATCTTTACCCTTAATTCAAATTGATTTAATACGAAAGTGACATTAAAAGTCATCTGTACGACGGTAATGAAATCATTGTCGAAAATATTTACACTGAAACATTTGTTGCGTAGCAAAAGAGAAGTTTATATTCAAACTACACTGTATTAGGATATAAGACTTTAAATCATCAAATTACTGCTTTAAATGAATATGTGAAAATGGTTTACATTCAAGTCTGTAATATTTGGCGGCGTCCTTTTTTCTCTGGATAAGAAACGATTAACTGTAGAAGGTAAAATGTACAGATATACATGTTGACAAAGCAGCAAGAATATGCTCCCAACGGCATCAAATATTAGGTATTTTGTTTCAGAGTTTCCTAACCTATCAATTATTCGTTTCAAATAAGGATAATTGCTTTGAAGATTAATAAAATTCTGCTTAGCGGTTTAAAGAAATTGCTGAAGTGGCTCAAAATCTAATAAAGTACTCTATAAGCGTCGTTTTGATCTTGAACACCCACATATTGAATCTACCTGTATTCATATAACATAAAGTAATTTTAAACCGTTCTTAATAATGTTTGTATACAGGCCAGCGGATAGTAGTCAATTTTAAATTGGCATATTTGGACAGTTACTAGATAAAGTTGATTGTTTCTATATTGAAACTCAAGGTGACATTAACTACATACGTGTACCCGGAAAAAAATCAAACCGATTTACAAATAAAATGTGGCATGATCTTACTTAATAATTTGGCTTGACTCAATAAAAATGAAAACAGTAAGTGAAACTTCTAACATTTGTTACAAACAATAGATCGTCAATCATCGATCACATATAAACAACAAGATACGAACTAATTAGCGAAATTCCATTTCCAAATCTCATTAAAATCATATCCTAACTGTCGCTCTACTACTCATCGCTTCGTAGCAAAGGGTAAAGGAGCGAAAACGATGATCTGATTTTAAAGAGATTGATCCATTCCTGTGTATAGTTTTATTGAACACTTCCCAAGATGTTTAACAAGATCACTCATTCAAGACATTTGTTGAAGTTACTTTTAGAAATGGACAATATATTGCTCATTCTTATATCATTGAATAAACAAGAGATCCAAATGTGTCGAAACAAGTATACGATAATATTATCAATGGCACGAAAGTAAGGAACAACCAGGAAGAGCGGCTAAACGAACGCAAACTCGCACTTAAACGTGATATTTCGGTTTAATTAAGAAATAAAAAATGCAATTCTTAAAAAAGATTATTTACAGAAGACTCATAACAGACAATGACTAAGAAAAGCAAAAAGAATATCAAAAGATATAATTAAAGTACCATAGATTAGTGGGAAGTTTTACCGTCATAGTTGATAACAAATAATAATGAAGAAATCGGAGGTAAAACAAATATTGAATATGTGTAACAGTTAAACTGATTTGGGCGGAATTGGTCCAACTAGTTCACATTACTGTGGTGACCCACATCGCTTTATCCATTGCGTTAATGGTTAACAATTTTATTGATACTAGCTTATTCCTTATCTCTCTCAAATAGGCTTACGTTTTCTCTATTTTCAAAGGTGACGATTGAGAAAATCCAAGCAACTGTAGGCCGGCCTACAATTTCCAAAATTTGTAAAATTCCTTAATCAATATCAGTAAATGTTATTATAACCTACTGTATATTGTACTGCTTATTATTGGCATTATTAAATTTAAGACAAGTTAAATTACTTTTTAAGATGGGATATTAATATGTTCTCCTACAGGAAGTTTTCTCATCTAGTCGGGTGGTACAATTTATATATTTTATCGAAAAATCGTCATGCGAATAGAATTATGAAATGTATCGTTAATTGTATTGTTTGAAGAAAACAATCTTAAATAATAAGTTTGACATACATTTTCATGTTTTCAATAAAACATTGTGTGTCATTTAAAATATATATGTATATAGCGATAAGGCTTTTATAACTTATTTAACTAAACAATCCACTTTACTGTAATGTTTCTCAAGTGGAAGGTATTGGTTGTTACAGACAATTTCAATCTAAATTTCACAAAAATGAAGTTAATACACGTATGTTCCTTAAAAAGTTGTCATAAAAAGTTATGTATTTAAAAACAATAACACTTCTATGAAATAAAATCACGTTTTAGTTGGGTTGTAAAGAAAAAGAAAAGCAATGCAACACAACAGACCGTTAATTTATATAATATGAATTATCATGTGTCCCTACAAAATATGTCGCTCCAAAAACATCCCTTGCATAATTTAGACATTATTATTACTGGAATGTCTGTAAATGTTATTAGTGCTGATATTTACCAATACAGGATATTGTTTATGAGGTAGACAAAAGATTCGGTCGTGAATTGCAGCATTTAGGAAATTACTATATACTTTTGGAATAAAGGAATAGCTGAGCACCCTAGGCCTGTTCTGTATCCAGGTCTTACGGTAAAGAAGTGTCTTGCTTTCATGAAAAATGATCCCAATCAGGAAAGTCCTGTATTTAAAAGAAAAATCTCAGTATAGTTTATAATCCATTTCTTACGTATTTGTGATTCAAACATCCAACAAACTTCGGCTACCCAAAATGTTTTCAACATCCTCTTTACTCAGCATGTCTGTGCAATATGAATTACAAATAGAACATGTTTTATCCATTCAAAAATAGTAGCCTTTGTACATTAAAATTTGCTCGTTTTGATTGATGTTGTAGTTCTAAACCCTACAGTCTGTTGATGCCTTATTTTAGATGTCCAGTCATTCGTTAAAAACGGTTATTAAAATTTCCTTTAGTAACAACATCTTATATTCTAATTTAAGTTTTGTCGGTCTTGGAAAAACAAACCAGCATCTTTACCAGTCTGTAAACATAATTCAAGGTGAAACAGTGTACGCTTAATTAAATCAATAATAAAGATATAAGATTGGAGTAGAAATATTAGAAACTAGATATGTATGAAATTAAAAGAGTTTATTAGATCTATTTTAGGAACACTTTCTCTCTCCATATCGCCCAATAAACTTGCGCGTGCGCAATATTACTTTTTTTCAATAATTACGAACTTGCAAGTTTAAATTTCTCATAAAACACAAATCCCTGTCTGTTGACATGACAGTTTGCATGTAGTGTAATAGCATTGATTTTCTCTTTGCTCGACTAACAGAAATGAAACATGTTATAATTATTTCATAAAACATAATTGTGCATATGAGATTCTGGAAAGGAAAATGTATTATTATTGAAATATCATTTTCTCATCACTGGTCAAGGCGGCATAGGTTATTTTATCCGAAAATTTCTGTAATACAAAGTTAGTTATAGGACTGAATTACCTTTGTAAATATGGTAAGTTATTTCTTAGTTTAGTCTCAGGGAAACATATTTCCTTTTATCACCTTTTAGTCCTATACATGGCATAGTACTATATGTTATTTAGGTATATGTATTAATTCATTAAAGTGACGTATGAAATGTTTCAATACTTAAACCATGCTTCTTTCAAATTTAATTATTTACACGTGTCTTTATTCTTTACATTTCTCGACCAGGAGCTAAGACCTCTAACGACTTGTGTATCTTGTAACTAAATTTCAACATTATTGAAATCAGTGGCATTATATATATCATACAGTAAGATGGCACATTTGTTTCTAAAGAAGTAGAACTTAGTAGCCTTATAACTTTTTATATAAATATTTTAGGCTGATCTGCTGACTGATGAACAAGTCAAAGGTATAATATGGTATTATATTCGACAATAATAATCTGACATGTACATAATGACTAATGTATCACGAATTTCTTGACATCTCATATTTTTTGTAACAATGAAATAATAAACGTTTCAAAATAAAATATTTGACTTATAGTAGTATTCTAATTTTTACATATTTTCTAACTTAGAACATGTGTTTTTCTAGCAGTGAAATAATGTTGGTATAATGAAATGTTTAAAACCTTACTGATTTATATATACAATCATAAAATAAATTCGATACTTAACCCATGAATAGAATGAAATAAAATAAATTGACATGTACGATTTACGTTCTTGAAATCACAAAAACTCAGATTTAGTCAGTGAAATGTATCCGACAAGTAAAGTTTTATAATTGAGGGGATCTTTTATATCTTTAAATAAATAATGAGATATGAGCCGCGCCACGACAAAACCAACATAATGGGTTTGCGACCAGCATGGATCCAGACCAGCCTGCGCATCCGCGCAGTCTAATCAGGATCCATGCTGTTCGCTTACAAACCCTATAACAAGTAAAGAAACTGATAGCGAACAACATGGATCCTGATCAGACTGCGCTGATGCGCAGGCTGGTCTGGATCCATGCTGGTCGCAAACGCATTATGTTGGTTTTGTCGTGACGCGGCTCATATATATTCTAAAATAATAGATATACGATGTTACATGTTTAAGAATGTAAGGAGGTGTTCAACCTGTTTGACAAGGATGGAGATGGTGCAATAACAACACAAGAACTGGGTAAAGTAATGAGATCACTTGGTCAGAACCCTACAGGACCAGAACTGCAAGAAATAATTAACAAAGTGGACGCTGATGGTAGGCATCTAATTTATTTAAAATATTTCTATGTACTTTCAAGTTAATTGTTAGTTATTGGTGTTTTTCTTTCAAGACAAATACTGTTATTTTTTTAATTATCTTAACTTTCTTCAAAACATATAAAATTGTATTTTCTAGGAAGCGGATCTATAGACTTTACAGAATTTTTAACATTAATGAAGAGGAAAATGAATGAGAATTACACAGAAGCGGAACTACGTTCGGCTTTTAAAGTGTTCGACATAGACGGTAATGGTCAGATTTCGTCGTCAGAACTAAGGCACGTGATGACAAATCTCGGAGAGAAACTCTCTGATGCCGAGATTGATGACATGATTAGAGAAGCAGATGTCAACTGTGACGGACAAATCAATTATGAAGGTAGGCACAAAAATATCCAGACATATATTGATCTTTTTTACCTTTTCGTGGTCATCATAAAAACAGTCCTTAGCTTAACTATATAATTATAATGAATGATAAATGTTTCTTTTACTACTTGATCTCAGTTTATTTCTATTTTGTTAAATAAATGCAAATCAATACATATTTGTTTTGTTCTTTCGATTTTAATTCACGTTTACACTGTAAAAAGTCATATAATATTATACATGTACATGCATTTATTAAAGAAGACCTCGGAGTGCCTCCGTGTATTATCTCAGACACACGCAAGTATATGAGACGTACCGTCAACTTTCGAAATTAATAATTGTCAGAAAAAATAAAAGCTTGGGTGGTTTAAAACCCAAAAGATGCAATGGAAAATGATTAACTTAAAATTTCCCCCAAAAGGAAAACCCAAATTTAATGAGTAGAGCATTTTTCTCAAAAAGAAAAAAAAGTTGGAAAACTTATTCTTTTTTTTAAAATTTCGTTCGAATGAGGGACCCCAATAGAGATGTCTTACAAAGCTTAATGAAGTTAAAAATGAAATTTTTGGCAACAAACAATTGGTTCCGTTTTTTGTTTTTGTTGTTGTTTTCACATTAAAATCGACGAAAGAAACATACAATGCTATTCATGTAGATATTATACATTACTATAGTAGAAACGTATTTTAGGTTATTCAATAATAAAAGGCGTCGGAACAACGTAATAATTCTTCTTTCTCGATAGCCTGACGTTATGAATAGATGTCAGTGTTCAAAATAATTTTAAGACAGCAATACTTTATTTGATAAAAATAAAAAAAGTATTTTTTTTTACATTTACAACATGACTGTTTAAAGTAATGAAACATATTGCATAAGGCACACAGGTATCAAACAAAAGTATACGTGTTATTATAGACGTGTATTTCATGATTTACAAATTCATTTACTTTTTATTATCTTTACTATTCTTCCCGAGCAATTTTTCATGATAATTCATCTAGCTTGATTTACTTTGTCATGAATATGTGTTATGTAAAACATTTCTTGTACAATAAAAATGACCTTACATACGTGTTTTGTTGATTAGTTTTCGAGTGTTTCATTCATGCGCAAAGTAAAATTAATTGCCAATATAGCTATACATAACACTTAACAATAAAACAATGTCGCAATGCGACAAAACTTTGAAGGTGAAGGAAATTTCACTCTCATCTATAATGAAATAGTTGTAACAACGTAAAAGCGTATAAAACTTTGTAAAGGACTTTACAAAACGAAAATGGTAAGTTGTTGTTTTAGACTTATTTAAATAGATAAGTATGTGAATAAGAGGAAATGTGTATTGTTGTTTGTCAAAACTTTTTATTTTTTTATTCTTGTATTTGTCAACTTTATTCATTTTAATTAGAAAGTATAATGTATATGTTATCTTTAGACTGTCTAGATCTGCTTATTTTATTTTTCCCCCAATGGTAAAAAAGCAATAAGCGAACATATTCGAAAAAAACAACAATATTTCCTAAGCGGTTGTTTGACTATGTAGCATTTTCAATAGATAGATTTACCATTTTAAAAGCCCTCTTGGTCATCTAACCTTGTCAGTGCGTGACAGTCTAAAGTAACAACTACAACGAAAGAACTCATACAATTTTTGTTCGTTGCAAAAAACAGTTTTTTTTTAAATTATTTCAACATACTGCAAATAAAATGTAAAATGGTCCAAAGTCATTTCTGTACAGGAAACATGATACGGCGTTCAGTGAATTGACGTCCATAATGAGGAACAGAATGGGAAACATGTTAGAATGTTAAGTAGACAAAATGGCAATGTTACAAGAATACAGTTTCTTCAAATACTCGTTTTTTTTCAATATGTATTTTATATTTCTTAGTTTTAAAACAGTGGTTTCCAGAAAAGTAGAAGATTAGAAAATTGATTTTGAATTAATTTTGATGACCACTAATATAAAAAAAGATCGTTTGGACTATAAAACTGTTTGAATGACAAATGTCCTTTTTAATATTTGACTGATTTTGTATATAAATGTATACATTTAGAAATTTGCGCAGCATTGACAGTGTAAATACAACACATTCACATGATATAATGAAGGTAGTGAACAAATATATATACATGTATTGTATTCAGTTACATATAAATCGAATGTATGAAATATTGTATGTAAGACACAATGTCATACAAAAGATTTTGTTTTATTCACATTAAATATTTACATAGTAAGCTGTAAATACATTCATTGCATTTTTTATTTACAATTTCAGGCTGATCAGTTGTCAGAGGAGCATATTGCAGGTACATTAATTTTAACGCATATTGTCACGTGCATATTAGTGAAATTTAATTGCAATTTTTTCTAAATTTAAACAAGTGCTGTGTACCTAATGTACCTTTAAATAGTTTGTCATAATCATTATCAGTTGTATGGTTGCTTGTTTTAATAAATTTTTTTTCAACAAAGTTTGATAAAAAAGGAAAACTTCGTTCTTGTAACAATTCAAAAAATGTCATACTGTCGCTGATTATAATGATGAATGGAAATTGGAAATTTCATTTTTTTTTCAAACTTCGTAAAGTATCCACCTAACCTTATGATACTTGTGAATTTAAGTTAATAGACAGAGCCTCGGCATCGTAATTATTGAAAGATGGTTAGGCTTATCGACTGCCAAGGTATGGTTAGAAACAAGTATCCGTGAATACGCATAATTTATCAAAGCATCGGATACCAATACAAAATGCATGTGTAGTCACTGATATAAAGAACACATGTAATTTCGAAATACATTATAATTTAAGAAATAATATCAATATGAGTCGTATTCATCGCATAATTAACACCGGTTTGGAGTTTATATACTTAGTTTTGACATCGACAGCTTGTAGGCATCAACGAAAAACACCGCTCACACTAATAAAATATTAAGACCACAATAAAATATTAAGACCACCATAAAATATTAAGATCACAATAAAACCGTTAAAATTTCAGCTGTTGGTTTATACCATTCGTCTTTCGGAACCGCAAACACATGTCAATTCTTTCTCGCGTATTTTCAGAATTTTCCAATAAATAATTTGTTAGTAAATTTTAATTCCCCTTTCTTTGATCTTTATTTTCCTTGTAAGGTGGTATGAATTTTTAAAACTTTAAATTCCAAAACAACAGGGCGGATTTATTAAGGAAGCTTATATAATGACGTCATTTTGAACCAAGTAAGATGACGATGTACTTGTCAGCATGAGTAAAACAAACACCAAATGCTTTATCAAAATTATAGGTTATTGCCTATGCTGGTTGATCTATTTTATATTTAGGTTTGTTGTGTTTATTCTAATGGCAAATTGTTAATGGCATATTTTCCCCCCATTTTATCACATTTAATTTTTAGGTTAAGCGATTTTTTTACTAGTTAATACATGAAACTTATATCGCTTATCATATAAATATCTCAGAATTTCTAAAAACCACAGTTACTAACTATGTAACCATTAAGGGCCAACAAGAAATAAACCTTTTAGGGAGGACCCATAGAATAATGTTTGGTATAGACTTTTGGTCCAACCCTTTTGTAGTACATTAATATTTATGCTTAAGATAATGATGTTAGATTGTGTAAATTTATCATGTACAAAATATATAATAAAAATTATTAAAAACTAAAAATCTATTTTTATAAAAGAAAAAAGGTCCCCCGGGGCTGTAATTTGTTCGATTTTTTCTATTTTATGTAAGCCTATACGGGAACACATTCACACACATAACGGGTCAGTTGGCAAATTTTAAACAATTTTCAACTTCATCATCTAACAAAGAAAGTTTTGTATT